CGCTTGTGAAAGAAAAGTCTTCCACGGATTCTCTGATGCGCGCTACAGCTGAAGAGGCAGAAGAGGCCATGCTTATAAGTACTGACGGGTAAACGAAAGATGGAATGGGGCTCTTATAGTTAATTGCAAACTGACTCTTGCTCAACGCGCGCGCGATTCCTGCGAAAGACAGTCATTTCGAATTCAAAGTTCTGATTACTTTATACTCATTAGCTGAGGCATTCACGAATCACACGTACGCGTCCTTCACAGCATCCTTATACTGAATTGCGAAAAGCTGAGCTCGCAGCCTGTAGGAAAAAGTTCAAAGTTTACTCGTAGAGTTCCGAGGGAAATAATATTGCATTTGCACACCTGCGCAAGAAGGGCCTGGAAGACACCAAACTTAGCATCACAATGTCACTGTGTTTAATTTAGCCACGATGGCGGCGGCCTGAGTCCCGGGAAGGCGGTGGTTCAAAGTTGAGTACGTCCGCAAAGGTGAGAAACTCGATGGGTTCTGTCCCATTAAAAGCGACGTGACCATTATGATGAATTGAGCCGTTGATGTTCACTGCATACGCCGTCCCATCACAAGAAGGATTGCAATAGCCTCTATAGTGATAATCCACCGCCTTGAAGTGAACCATGCCACACTCGAATGATAGATATTGGTTCCTGAACGTCATTCGACGATCGCGAAATTGTGGTAATCTGTGTAAATACGACTGGACAGCGATGATAGCATTCCGTGTAGTAAGATTGTGAGGGTCTGTTGCCCCTTCAGCTTGGGGGAAAAAGATCTGGAGGGGGAGAAGTGAGAGTGAAGGCGCTGGATAAAGGGGTCTGAGCGGTCGTCGAGTCGGTGGTGGTCCTCGGAGTCGTTGTGGCTGCTGGGGTTCTTGTTGCGGTCTGAGTGAAGCGAGGTTTTGTGTGGACGGTTCTGAGTCGGAGGAATCCGAGGATGATGTTTGGGAGGATGAAGAGGAAAGCGGTGATGATGGCGATATAAAGTAGGGCAGTCCCCGAATCTGTAATATTTGGGAATGATTCTCCCTAGAATCTGAGTCTTCAGCCATCTGAGCAAAAGATTTCATGATCTGCCTCAGAAATACAAATATAAAACTACGCACCATAAGAGGTGCTGCAAAAGTAAGAAAGACGAGTCGGCAGTGAGCTAGCAGGGTCACCAGAAAAACAAGAATGAGACGCATAGCCAGGGGACTTTCTTTGGCCAGCAAAGATTGTCCGAGAAGTTGATGACCTGCAGCGAGCCTTTTATCTTTGTCATGAAAGCTTTTTCCATGTTTTGCCAAGTTTTGCCCATCAGAAATGATTCCACTACCTCGCAGTGCCTCACCCAAGCCTCACCCTACCCTAAAACAACCTTTGATGTGTACCAAAATTGAATTTCCCTAACAAGAGACCGATACATTTGTAGCGATAGAATGGCTCGAGATGAATCGAGCGGGTAGAAGTCGTAAGTCGGAGCACGAGAGGGAAGGAAGTATTACATACATCCAGACCCCGGATGATAGACAGAGAAATAGCGTAAATATAGGTATGCGTACAAGAGGGTACAACAGTACTAGTAAGGATATGAATCTAAGGTTAAACAAGGGCAAATTCATTATGAATCATCATCATTCGTAAAGGAGGGAAGAGAAGTACACGACCAACGACCATGATCGAGAAAACCGTGACGCAAGGTGTCCTAAGATATCAATGCGAGTGAACGCTCCGAATAGATCCAGGGCCAATGGTTCTTCGTTTCCCCAATCCAAATATTCTATAAACTTGCTCCCTCGTCGGAAATGACACAGTTAACGTCTGTGTGACCTTCTTCGCTAAAGAAGGGACTGAATCGAAATTGAACGCCAGCATTTCGAATGTCGGACTAGGCAAAGGAGATAGTGATGAGAGTGTCTCTAAGGAGGGCAAACGCTGAAGGGTCGGTCGGAGGGAAGGAAGGCGTTTACTGAATTGCTCTTTCACAGATACTGGCCCTCGAAGCCCAAGACCACGAAATCGTGCACGATAATGTGCATATCTGGAGGAATAGTGTGCATAACGCATAAAATAATATGCGTAGCGGTCATAAATATAACGAGTGTGAGGTATTGTGCGTCGAAGGTTGTGACGGGAATCTGGAGAGGAAGATGCCTTCGCTAGCGGAGCTGATAAGGCTGGATTTATAATGGAATGAGGGACCGATTTGAGCGTCGATTTGAGTTCAGTCTGGGCACAAGCAGCATAAATCTCTGATGAAATGACTGAGGCAGTAGATTTTACCTCAATGACTCTCCGTAACTTCGCCCGCTTCCTGAACCCTTTCAGGCACCCCAAGAACCAGCTGGCGTGCATCGGGAAGACGCATATGAATAATACAGCAGGTGCAATAGAGCCTATTGGTGCAGGCGCTGAAGTTATTGAAGAGGAAGAGGCTGTAAAGTTTGGAATCGAGGTGGCTGTGAGAGTTGATAGCGCTAAAGGTCGATTATTCGGAAGGATATACGTTATACAAAGTACAATGTGAAAGAAGATCCGAGTGAGGAAAAATGAGACGGCGAAAAAGACGTTCGACCGTAATCGGGGAAAAAGCGTAGCCAGACCAAGGACGAATGTCGGGAACTAGGAGGAATCAGATGACGAGAAATGCTCAAAAAAAGGCATACAGACCTCCATACATGCAGCCAAACAAAATATGTGAGCCCACTTCTGTCGAATTGCGTACTCGACAATGCCGAGATAGATAACATGATGGGACCAGCCAGTGAAGAGATTGAGCTGAGATCGGTAGTACACTGCGCCTAGAGAAAGATCGCTTTGACATGTTAATGTCAGGCGGGTTGAGAAGACATCCTCGTAGAATCTACACTCACGTCAGTAGATAAGCCTGAAAAAACCGATTTGCAGGTACAGCCAATTCTGGGAACGCGCCAACGCGTTTGACATCTCCTCTCCCAGCAAAATAATCCCATACGAATGGTAGACTGGCGATAGTCATGACGAAACTAGCGGTAGTAGTGATAATCCAAGCAACTTGCTTTGGACTGGTGAAGCCGGAAGGTCGAGCAAAGACATGATACACCAGGATGAGAACCAGGAAAGAGGAGAGGAAGGTGACACATTGAATACGTCCCGAGGGAACGCTAATATCCCTGTCGTAGAAGGATAGTATCGAAGAGGACCAAAACATCCTCAGGACCGAGTACTGAGGCCGAGGACAAAGTTTAGCGTTGAGGAAAAGAATTCTGAACCGTCTTGTTGATATTTATCGGCTCTCGATCTATTCTGAATCAATCGCACGTTTGCGGCTACCAAAATTCGAAGATAAGAACCTTGAGGACGGAGGTAGGTCGGTAACTCATTACAGGTTCTCCAAGGTCTTTTCAAGAGGAAAAAAGACGCGCCGCTTCTCACGAGTTTTGACAGAGGAGACCATTTCGCTTCGAGCCACGTTGGGTCGTACGTTTTAGTGTAAGTAACGGATCGGATTGATCGGTCCGCGAGATTCGAATTCGAACGTGCGCAGAAGAAATTTGGTGGTGGCGGCGGCGGCTGGTAACACTACTATAAGTCTTGAACGGTGCGAACTTGAAGAGTTGCTGCTAGTTACCAGTGTAGCGCAGCCTGGCATCCCGTCAGTGACGTCCTTTTGGAGATGTGGAAGACGATAGCAAGCATTATCTGCATAATTAGGTTGTCAGATCAACATATCCCTACAACGTCAGCAAACTTATCCGAATACACTCACTTGTAGAACGAGTAAGTTTATAGTTGTAGACCGGCGCGAAACCATAGTCTCTTAGGGTTCTTCTATGTCCCAGTGCAGGGACCTTTTGAGGTGAGAAATATATGGATGCGTACAAGAAAAATCCGGGTCATGAAATTCGACAAATTTCGCCAACGTGTGCACCGTGTTCGAAGTCTACATGTAATATGATTTAATGATTAGAGCATTGGCGATAAAGCAGGAAACTTGCTTGTCCAATCAGAACATACCCCAATCGTGTTCCCAGCATCAAGTCCAAGAACTCTGGTTATCTCATTATTCCGCCTTTCGCTTCTAATATCCGGAGAACGGAGCGAGAGTGCATGGCCAAACATGGTATGAATTGGTGAGTGCCATCGCGCCAAAATTCTTCCACAGCGAGATTCTACAGATGCAAGTTCCGAGTACCCAGATCGCGGAAAAGGTCCAATATACCAGCTCCCTTGACAGGATGGAGTGCACTGTATTAGGCGTTGTTGACTCTAGTGGGTTGCGGCACAGACCACAGACTTCTTAATCGTTTTAGGCGTCATCAGGTTGTCCGGAGAGCGGGTATGTCCCATAGAGAGCTGAAGCCAGCGGGCTTGGGAAATGAAGACAGATGAGTCAAAATGACCGTATCAGACCGTATGGCGGTAAGGGGAAGGTCCAAGGTGTTCGGAAGTGTACTAGGATGGCATCAGAATGCACGAAACATAGACATTCGAGCAATCATAACGAGTTCTGAGAGACCCAGAGCCTCAAGGGAAAAAAGGATGCGCGTTCGTCAAAGTGACGACCTGCAGGTTTGATAAGATTCGTGTCCTTTCCGATGTAGCCTGTATACCACTCACGAAACTTCTGGGAAGATATGAATAACATCGAGCACACAAACGCATTGAAAAATCACCCCATTTCTTTAGAGAATTTCTTGCGAGCATGCATGCTTAGAGGAGTGGACATTCGTATGCAATCCGATTCGGAGCTGGCGATTTCACCTAGTTAAAAGTTGCGTCCATGGCTATCCAGAAAGAGAAGATATCCACTGATATGTAGTGGAATGAACTTGACGAGGTTTGGATATCTGTTTGGTAAATCGTATGCGCGTGAACACTCACCAAAGCCTTCAGCTTCATTGTATCTACGCAAGCACTTTAGATGGTACAAACGCATCCTAACAGTGCAACAAGATGCTGGTAAAAATAATAGAAAATGATGTTCCCTTGCGATCAATAATTGAACAGAAAAAGCGCCATGGATTGTGTATGGTGAGATGGCCGAGTGGTCTAAGGCGCTAGATTTAGGTCGCAGATCTTAGACTCTAGTCATTCGTGGCGTGGGTTCGAATCCCACTCTCATCACTGTGATGTCTCTCCTAGACAATACATTAGTTTTTTTTTCTCACCTTGTACAAAGGTTAAGATTGGTGCCATTCTGTGAATTTCGCAAACGAGGCCGAGAGTATCGAAGTTTCTACCGCCATGTACAATGCATATGATGATCCATGGATATATGCAGGACCAATTTCATGATTGCCTAAGATGAATGCATAGATTTGTTGTAATTACATTGTTGGAGTAAACTAGGGCTCCTGGGCTGTCTCTATGCAAGAAAGACAGAGCTGCTTGCTCAGATTTGTTTATTGAAAAGGCTAGTAACTATGCACTCGAGCTCCTCCACAAACAAAGCTAAGCAGTGCTCCTACGATGTGAGGAGGCTGGTTTCGTCCTAGACTTTCGGAATCAGCTGTATGTTCGACGAAATTCAATAGAGTCACATATATTCGAGTAAGATATATGTGTATGAAGGTATGCTACAGTATTATATGATATTAGAACGTCGTTGTGGTTTCGGGTGTTAAAAAAATAATCATGGTGATCAAGGATCAAAATCCAAGAAAACGCAACTATATCTTTCAAAGATATGTTTGTCATGATCATACTTGCAGTTTTGCAAGGTCTATTGAGTGAAATTCTCCGGCCTTTAGTAATTCATTTACTTTTTCGCATATTTACTCTTCATACGAATTGCTTTGCCGTATTTCCAGAAAATGATAGGTCTATACATGCAGGTCTATGTCAGTAAATTGTTGCAAGAAGATTGAGCGAACGGAAGATTGACGGAGTAGAGGAGACACTTATTGCAGAAAGAAATAAAGAAAAGCGAATGATCAAGGTACTCACGCAGGCAACCCGATAGCAATACTGACAGCCGCCAGAATTGTGTCGCCTTTACCAAATCCTATTGCGTTGTACATCGCTGGTGCAAAAAGCGGGAAACCAAAACCGGCGAGGGAGCGGAGGCAGGAGATTGAAGCGAGAGCTGTCAAGAAGGAACGATTAGTGTGGTTCACGACAACTAAGAGAGCATAAAAATGATTTTGGAGGGGAAGAACGGAAAAGGTAGGAAATAAGATATGATGAATCGGGGAAGGAAGATTAAGAGGACACAAGAACGAATTGGTCAATAGAGAAAAACAATGAGGAGATTAGAGGAAGTAGAAATCGAGACTACATGTTTGAGGTCATGAGATGAAAACTCACCACTAGCAGCATGCAAGGTGAAGCAATCTACAATGTATGTTTGCATCGATTGAAACGTAAAAATGACACCAGCTCCGACGAAAGCCATGCCCTATGCAATGAAGGAATGGGTAGTCAGTACTATCGTGGGATAAGAGAATGCCTTATAAACTCACAAGATCAGTAACAACCCAATGGACACGCTCTTCTGCTGCCCACCCGCTGATCAAAAGTCCGACAGGTAAGCAAAAGCTTCCCAGTATCATGGCGGGTACACGAAATTCCGGTTGACCGACTCCGTTATTTTTATTCTTGAAGTGCACATATATTTTGTCCATATAATGGGCGTTGAGTTGAGAGGAGACAGTCAGACCAATGCCAAGTCCGATGTAGTTGAGACCACCTGAAGTCGTAGAGGGACAAGTAGCAGAGTCAAGTTTTGGGTCATTAGAGCACAGATATGTACTACAAACCTATTCCTGGCGACTCGTGGTATACCTGCGTGAAAATCGTCGGTATTGTCGTGAGATAAACTAATCAATGAAATAAGTGAAATTCGTTGAGCGACATGAAGGAGACTTACGATAGAATACTCCATATACAAAGGCCATGTACAGGCCAATAACTTGAGCGATAGGCTCACGAAAGAAGAGGACAAAAGGTCGGGTGAGTGATCTTTGAAAAATCTCTTTCATTCTGTAGGATAGATGATGAGGAAGAAGCAGTCAGGAATTGTAGAATACTCGCGTCCGGCCTTCTTGATTGGAATACACCGTCTTCACATCCCACACTCCTTTCTCCGGGTCCCCGGAAATTTCCTTTCTGATTTTCTCTGCTTTTCGTTCAAGGAGAATAGGTGCGAAAGCTTTGAATAGCATTAGTCCACATGGTGGATTATAGGTCGTCACATCAAACACTCACTCTCCTGTAACCAAAACGTCCCAGCCACCTGAATCGCTGCATCTACGATCGTTGTCGACCAAAAGACCCATCTCCACATGTTACTCTGACTACCAAGTGCGCCTCGATCTCCCACACTAATTCCACTTTTATCCGCAATCCACGCTCCCGCGATGGGACCGACTACCGGACCCAGTAGGGGTGCCAGACTATAGACAGCGATCGCTTTCCCTCGTTCTTCTGGGTGCCAAACGTCGCCGAGAACACCTCCGCCGATGGAGAGAGGTGCAGAACCGCCGAGACCAGCAAGAAAGCGGAAGACTAGAAGTTGTGTAGTGTTTTGAGCGAAACCGCAGACGAGGTTCCAGACTGATACAAGGTTCAAAAAATGAGGGTGATAGCAGGGTACAGTAAAACGTACCAAGGTAAAACAGATTAGCAGCTTGCAACACTCTCGAACGACCATAGATTTCACTCAATGGACCGAGAATCTGTGGAAATAATTAGGCTTGAGGGAAGTTTGTTATCGAGCACGAACGAGCTCACCAGAGGTCCAATAGCTTTTCAAAGAACATAGGTAATCAGTAAATTATGTATGAAAAGGAATCAATCCTCACCATACGCTAATACGAAAATACTCGTTGTCATTGCTATGAGAACATCATTTGTGATTCCAAATTGAGCGGCAATAGTCTCAGTTGCAGGCGCAACCATGGACGAAGAGACAGGACTGATGAAGGTGAACGCTGAGACGATAGCAGTTGCAGCCCATTTGCGACGGAAAGTCCAGCTGTGAAAATTTCTTGTCAGATTTCGGCTAAGGATGTACGGATGTAACTTGAACATACTTTTTAGGATTACTAGGATCATCTGGTCCATCCCAGTCAACGACTATTGTTCGTTCGAATTCACCGTCTTCATCAATTACTTCCTTCGCCTCCAGGTTGGATTTTTCTGTTTCCTTTGCTTTCTTTGCGTTCATAACCTCGGATCTTAGTTCAGGGTCTTCAACAATTGTCGAAGTTGGTGTGTTAGCGTTACTAAATTGTAAGCTATTTGACGGCTGGCTCTGAATTTGTGGAGAAATCCGACTTTCTGGCTTCGTTGTTGAGCTCATTCCGGAGTTTGTCATGAGGTTCGTTGCGCGATGAGGAAAAATTAGCGTGTGAGGGGGGCACCATGGTTATATGTAAGTTTTCGGAAGTGGATCCGCTATGTTGAAAAGGTTCATCGTTGGATGACGTTTGAAGCGAAGAAAACGGGCGCTAAATTAACATGCTCCCAATTGGGCAGGTATTTCGTGGGACCCGGAACCACCTCGGGACCCTTCCAGAATTTCGCAACTAACGAACACTTACACACTGTACACTCCGCTTAAACTTTTGTATGCAGACTGACAACCCCCGCCTAGGTGCTGGTAATAAAGTCGAATATGATGAATCATGCCGGTCATGTTCTCCACTTCTTTGAACTATTGGATTGACAATCGTTTGATAATCTTTTCTGCGTTTCCTTCATGGATGCAGCGTGCCTCGCACTTGGTCACTCCATATCGTCTATCCACCTTCGTCTTTTTGTCAACCTGTCACGTCATCCGAGCATCAGTTCTTGTAACGCTTGGTCTTCGACTCACCACGATTCCTATACACCCAGCGCGTGCCGTGTCTTTCAAGTCCCAAAGACTAAGAGGAAAGGTCGCGCCAGGATTCCGCCACACCATCTTTTGATGTTCCGACGATTCCCTTGAGTGGTTGATGTAGGATGGAGTTTAGCGTTGCATCTGGAACCCAGGATCGAGATACTTGGTCTAGTGGAGTCTGGTCGTGATCATGAGCTTCAGTCTCAGTTGGTCAATGACATCGATTGGATGGTAGTTAGGATTGGCCTCTTCAAAAGGGACAGGGAATGGGGGATACGCCAGGTTCAAACTGGAAAGACCGTGCATTGTCTGTCTTGTGAATCCTGAGCTCCTTGTATGTGGATTAATTTACTGTGACTGATGTACATAATAACTTATACACATCCCAGATTTCCTCGATGGTATCAGCTTTTACCAAGGATATCCGTGTAATGTGAGTAGACCAAATTTGTATACTTCCTGCCACAAACTTCTCTTCTCAACTGAAGAGACTAGACCGCTTCACCTCAAACTGTCAATCTTCGAAAGTCAGAAAGAGTAGTTAGCCATACCTCAGGACGTAAGTGAATTCTTGAACGGTATATATCCATGATGTTGTCGGCGAAGGTTAACACAACTCTTCAGTGCAAGGAACTTTTGTCCTTGTGGGTTTGATAGCTGTGTCGATCCTCGTCGGCGATGTTGAAGCCAACAGGTCATGAGTAAGAAACCGAACGAAATTAGAGTCGCATCTCATGTATGTATGGCTGATATCAAGCGATATCAAGCGATAAAACCTCAGCCCGCAGCACTAAATACGCAGTAACGTCTATACATAGTACAGGTCAGAAACAGAGTGGGTGCGTTGTTACAGAGTTGCACTCCAGTGGAACGACGAATCAGATGTAATTTTCGTCGCAGGGCTATGGCTATAGAATGATTTCATATCCCTCAATGCTATTCCGCTCGTTGGCTACATTTTCCCAGTCTAGGCATAATTTACATAAACCTCATATCTCCCCAGTATCTCCCCTCCAACGCATCGTCTTATCTGACTCGCTTACAAGTTTCCGCTATGCTATAGCCCCTAGGGCCTACCTCATGTCAGCATCCGACGGCCTACTCAAACTATCCCTCGAGCCCTGAGCTTGTCCGAGTACGCGAATTACACCCTAACTCATCCTTCAAGCTTATATGTAGAGGTCTTGTCACAACGAGGAAGCGTGAAGTCACCAGTGACGACCATGTAGTACGCTCTCTAGTACGTCTCTGGTACGTCTCCTTCAGCTGTGGTCTCAATTGAAGTCATCTAATATTCTCA